CAATGCTATAGATGTTTACATTTCACGTAAAATACAAATACTAGACTAAGAGAAAATTACTGAAATATTTGAGACATACGTGACTGTGTATTCTAATACAAAAATGCCATATATCGAGACAAAAAACCTATTAAATCTTATAAATCTTGAAAAGTGCAACTCGCACATGTCATCTAAAAATAGATTCCACACACTACATCATAAACCAAGATGTTTTACAAAATAATGATCAAATGCACACAAAATCATTAACCACACTGATTTGATAATGAATATTAAGCATTGCAAAACAATAAAACTTACTCCATTGTGCGTCCAAGTTGCAGAGAACGAGGTAAACAGGTATGGTAAGAAGCTGCGAGCCAATCAACAATAAGAAAAGGAAAATGTGGAATCAATATAAAAATAAAACCAACACAACAAGTTTTGATAATTCCGGATTGTTCAAAAATGTGACAACACAGCATCGGTTTTTGATTTCGATGAACGGTGTTGCCATGGTTACTAAAAATAGAAATTTCTGTGAACTTCTTTCAAAATGCTACTCCTCTTACAATTTTGGTCCGATTTCAATATAACTTGGCACACAAAAAGACTATACTGAGATACATAATTCTGTGCATCAGTTTTTTATTTCGATGTATGGTATTGCCATGGTTACTAAAAATAGAAATTTACGTGAACTTCTTAAAAATGCTACTCCTCTTACAGTTTTGGTCCGATTTCAATATTACTTGGCACACAAGTAGACTACACTAAGATACATAATTCTGTGCATCGGTTTTTGGTTTCGATGAACGGTGTTGCCATGGTTACTAAAAATAGAAATTTCTGTGAACTTCTTTCAAAATGCTACTCCTCTTACAGTTTTGGTCCGATTTCAATATTACTTGGCACACAAGTAGACTACGCTAAGATACATAATTCTGTGCATAGGTTTTTGATTTCGATGAACGATGTTGCCATAGTTACTAAAAATAGAAATTTCTGTGAAATTTTATTATAATAGTACTCGTCCACCAGGTTTGTTCTGATTTCAATATAATGTGGAACACAAGTAGACTACACTAAGATACATAATTCTGTGCATCGGATTTTGATTTTGATGAACGGTGTTGCCTTGGTTGCTAAAAATAGAAATTTCTGTGAAATTCTTTCAAATGCTACTCCTCCTTTAGTTTTGGTCCGATTTTAATATAACTTGGCACACAAGTAGACTACACTAAGATACATAATTCTGTGCATCAGTTTTTATTTTGTTGAGTGTCAAGGATCATTTTTCTATTGATTCCTGTTTTGAAGTCTCAAGTCACAACTGCTACTTTTCTCTTCCTTTGTTTTAAGTATAGACCAGTAGAGTTACAGTCTCAACAGAGACTTCTGGTTTTAAAAAAGATTAAATGTAACAAAAATATTTAACAAAAACACACATCTTTTCTAATTATAGGGGAGGGGGGTCATTAAGACGTCCGTGGGGTTTAAGATTTAAAACGGGACCGATGGTATTGGCCTCGGTCTTGCCCTTAGTATGATGGTGGTGGTGGTGAAAACTCGCTCACTCAGTTATTCCTTTTCTTCTTGTGGGTGTAAGGTTTGATTCTCTGAAACGACATATTGGACAAGGCATCCCTAGATCAAACCGATGCATCTACGAATAAAATAAATATATTTCGAAATTAAATTGTTACTATTTACCCAAGAGAACAAATATTTTTTTTAATCAAAAAATTGTATATACCTTCCACAAGTTGGTCGATTCCGACATTTTCTCTACGCGTCCGTTTAAATGGCGGCGGAAGGAGGTGTTCATCCAGTCAGCAAAAATTGACCAATCAGAAAAGAATGAGACTGCAAAAACGCAAATGTTTGACAATTGAAATTTTTAATTTTTTCAGATGTTATTAGAAAAACCAATCCTTCAATTTCTCAAGATTTAACCATACATACATATAGGTATCTCAATAGACAAATTCATATGCATGGAAGGGAAAGGTATTTCTATGATGTGAATTTCCCCGAAGCTATGCAAAATGATGACATATTGTACTGGAGTTGTGTAGATCAGATACTGCATGATGCATGTTATATATTCTTAGAAAAACATTAAGAATAATATGAAAATTCAAAATGCAGGCACATACTAAGTGTTCCCTGTCAAAACAAAAACAAAAGGAGAGGTATGACTGTATCTTTAATTTTAAAAAAAAGTATACTTTGAAAACTTCTAGTAAGAATTAAATTTTGCTAGTAGGAAAAAAAGTCACTAGCTAAAATTTGCAAGTGGTTGAAAAAGTTAATTTCGATCCCTGTATTATGTTATATTTATCTAAGACGTGTTATTTCTATATTGATTATATAATTATTGATAAATTTGAATTCCAAACAGTGATTAATCTATAATAATTGAAATTACCAACTGTTTTACAGAATTATAAGAAGATATGGCTGTATGATACTTATTGGTTACCAACTATTTTACAGAATTATAAGAAGATATGGCTGTATGATACTTATTGGTTACCAACTGTTTTACAGAATTATAAGAAGATATGGTTGTATGATACTTATTGGTTACCAACTGTTTTACAGAATTATAAGAAGATATGGCTGTATGATACTTATTGGTTACCAACTATTTTACAGAATTATAAGAAGATATGGCTGTATGATACTTATTGGTTACCAACTGTTTTACAGAATTATAAGAAGATATGGCTGTATGATACTTATTGGTTACCAACTATTTTACAGAATTATAAGAAGATATGGCTGTATGATACTTATTGGTTACCAACTGTTTTACAGAATTATAAGAAGATATGGCTGTATGATACTTATTGGTTCCTGTTTCCATACGTCACATTCCCTAAATATCGATACTAAATTATAAATTGATACATTAATACATCCATATCAACAATACTTCTCAATTACCCATAAAGTAAACATAACTTTGAAATTAAATGCAGAAGTAAAAATAACAAATATACATAGATGAAGAAATTTATGGAAATTCTTGCATCAAAATGAAAAACTGATGTCCCGTATGACAACTTGATCAAAAAAACTGATGTCCCGTATGACAACTTGATCAAAACATTATGGAATGCAAATCAAATATTTTGGTATCAAATTTAAGGCCTCCATAGATTAATTGACTGATTAATCGTCCATTATAGGTGCATAAAAATTCAATCACATATTCTTTCTACATCTTCTTGTTTAAATTTTTCTCTGAAGAAGAGATGTTAAGTCTACCCCATGGCATTTAAAATGTGTCAAATGTTCCTGTGTTAGCTTGAGGTACGGTGGAACACAGATTGATGATTTGGTGAATAACAGGTTTCTAGCCTGAATGCAGTTAGCCGAGACATGATAGTATTTGTTGTTAAATACCTCTCGCATACGCCATTCCTTTCTGTTAAAGAAACTGTCCATCTCCCTGTGGCATATGCCTATATCTTTTGGATATTTTAACGGCTTCTCAAATCTCCCCCTGCACCCGGCACATAATTTGACAAGATTAGATAATTTACAAACAACAAAAGGTTCCCTTGTTAATTATGTACTACCTTTTTGTTCGTGATGCAACAAGTTATCTTTACTTCCAAGGGAGTCATCCTGATTGGTATTCTTTTTTTTTTCATGGGAGGTTCCCGCGCTTGTGATGCGCAAGGTTGGGTATCGAGTCCACGACAAGTCTTACAGACGAAATAAAAAGAGTCATCACTGGCTTCGTCGTATGATCTTGATACGTCAGCACATTGAAAATTGTGCCACCACTGGCAAGAGTTGCATTGTATCTAATAGAATAAAACATGTGAAGATTACAAACAGTATTAAAGATCAAAAGTCCATAAAACAATACAAAATAGGAGCAGAGCAAAGTCCATAAAACAATACAAAATAGGAGCAGAGCAAACACGGATCATCGGCTGTGGTATCAAATGCTATGGAGGAGTGAGTATCCTCTGTTGAATGGACTATAAATTAGTATGTTTAACTGTTTGTGCTGACAAGCTCATCGTTTTGTATGTAGAACTTGTGAATTGTTGACAAAAAACGAGAGAGTTGAAATTCTTGTTTCATCAACTTGTTTGTCAACGATATACCTCTTATTAGAAATTGTTCATACGTAGAACTAGTTAGAATAATCTAACTGTGTCTCGGTACAGGCCCTCACCACAGTTAGAATACGTCCCATATACTTGTAATGTAGCAAAAGTAGTAAGGGGGACAGAGAACAGTCAGTCTACAGTCAGGATGACGTCATGGGTTTTTCCCAAAAAGGTCATATGAGGTCACAGTCAAGGGTGGAGTCTACAGTCAATGACGTCATTGGGTTACCTTAGTGCAAAATGTGAGTCTACAGTCACTGACCTCATGAGATAGTTCACAGACAAGGGTGAGGTGTTTACAGACACACCCAATATATGACGTCCTATATTTTAAATGATAATCACTACGTGACATTTTATATTATGGGTGTAACGGTTACACCCACAATATTAAATGATAACAACCACTGTAACTTCTATTATAGTATGGGCGTTAACGGTTACACCCTGAGTGCGATTCAGTATAAAATGCAGCCAGCGTTTTTGGGATAAGTTATTAATTAACGAGTCCTAATGCTAGAAACTTGACAAAAGGTATGTGAACATTTGCAGAATATTTATTATCGATACTGTAGGCAATACAAAAAGAAACCCACTGAATATCAACAGACAACATAAGCTTCTCCGAATACATAAAAAAGGGTTTGTTTCATAATAAGTTGCAAGACTTAACTTTCTGTGTTATGGAATATAATGTACACATTTTCAATAAAATACAAAGAAAAAAACTTAGAGGGATTATTTTAAATTATAAATTTATAATTTACATTTTTATGGTATATTGTATACAATGTACACAATGGTGCACAACACACACGATACGTAGTCCTCTTCCAATAAAAATACAAAAAAAAAACACCTAGAGGGATACTCAATTGACAATTAAAATTTGTAATTCTTTAAATAATCTTTAACATAGTCAATGAGCATCGATGTTTGTAATAAATCGACTCTCATAGAGTCAACCACCTCACTGAGGGCATTTAATTCCCCTTGAAGAGGAAAGGCACCACCAGCTAAACGCTGTAAAAAAGCCCCATTAAATCCTTGAGACGAACTGCATTCTGGCGACTGAGGAGGGGGGTTCGTAATAGTTGTCGCAGCGGTCTCAAATCCTTGAGACAAACTGTATTCTGGCGACTGAGGCGAGTACGTAGGAATTGTCGAGGTGGCCTTAAACCCTTGAGACATGCTACATTTTGGCGACTGACGGGGATATTCGATAGTTGGCGCGGTCTTAACCCTAAATCCTTGAGACGTACTGCATTCTGGCGACTGAGGAGGGGGGTACTTAATAGTTGTCGTTGTGGTCGTAAGTCCTCGAGACTCACTGTATTCTGACGGCTGAGGCGATTCTGGCGTTGATGTGTTGTATTCTGGCGATTGAGACGAATACACAGGAATCGTTATGGTGGTCTTGAACCCTTGAGATATAGTACATTCTGGCGATTGAGACGAATACACTGGAATTGTCGTGGTGGTCTTAAATCCTTGAGACGTACTGCATTCTGGCGATTGAGACGAATACACTGGAATTGTCGTGGTGGTCTTAAATCCAACCGAAGTTCCCAAACAATTGGGGGTTCCATCTCCCCGTATTCTCTTTTCTAATTTCTTATACTTTTGTGGGTCCTCTTTTCTGAATAATTAAAAAATTAACACTAATTTTTATGGGGGTTTTTATTTTAAGTAATTATAAAAAAATTAAAAGAAATATTGTAAACACACACTCACAAAAAGCCATATGTTACCTTAGATTTAAAAAATTAACACTAATTTTTATGTTTTCTTCTTAAGATTTAATAAAGTAATAAAAGATTAAAGAAAAATTGTACAACAAACACACAAAAAAAAAAGCCATGCGCTACCTTAGCTTGGTCAGTATGACATCTTCACCCTCCGTTACACTTAGTTTTTGTAGCTTTGTTCTCCTACAGATAAACCAAATTGTTAAGAATTAACTTAAATGCTACATGAAGACCTTGCAAAAAAAAAGTAGGTTATTTGAAAAAATAGTCAGTCTCAAACGAATTGTCTGACTATAGATTGATACATTAAATATACAATTACATAAACAATTACACAGTAGTATAAATTTAACAATTTATGGTAAATTAAATTAAAAAAAATCATATACCTCTTGTTTAAAATGTAAGAGTCCTCCGCCTGACTTAGTTTTCTTTTAAGGGATGGGGACTCAATTTCTTCCCCGTCGTCTTTAGGAGAATTTCTATAGAAATATGATTATATGTAAAGTAAAAATTGTTGCTTTCTTATACATGTTATCAAAATATTATTGTGACTCATTCTAAAAAAAGTAATACATTGTATATCTCCAAAATGAAATGTTTGTAATTTTATTTTCGTAAACTTTACACTGTCATTCAATGTTTAATATATATTATATATATATATATATATATATATATATATATATATATATATATATATATATATATATATATATATATATATACCCTGGTTCAAAAGCATTGAGGCAAAGCTGTTTTCCTAGATCAACCCATTCCTCTTCAAAATCTCTAAATGGTCTAGCCTTTTCCTGTTCCCTTTTATTAAAAAATAATGTATAACCTTAATATTTTTTAAAACCCAAAATTAATGTTTAAAAAGTCTAACAAAATGCAATGGAGTTTATATGTAATATATTATCAAAGATGATCACAAGAGATCGAATATTTTTTTAAATTAAATTTAATTTAACGCTTTATTTTTACATACTTAAGGTACATAGCATTAGTTTTACAAAATTTTGAAATTGAAATTGAAAAAAACTTACATCATGTCCAAATACTTCTGTGCCATTATGTTGGGTTGTCCTAAGCTTAATGGAAGTTATTCTGCTGATGGTAGAGTGAAGGAAACAGCTCGTATTTAAAGGTATTCGCTTTTGGGTGTGATTCTAATTCGTGATTTTACGATATTTTAAATACATATAATATACATAAAAAATATCTTTTTTAAAACTACCGCTACGTCGTGACATATCTGCGCGACACATCTGCGTAATCACTTTGTCATTAATCAGGTGAAATCGTGTTGAAGAAATTATGTAAATTTATAATACATGTAATTGTTCTAATTTTCTACACCTGTACCTTAATGTGACCTCTTTTTGATTCAATTCATCATATTTACTCGACTGTGTAAAATACTTAGGTCATTGTTTTCCATACATTAAGTATAGAACTATGCATTGTACATGTGGTATAAAAGAAATTAAATAAGTCATGTAATTCAGCAGTAAATTATTTTATCTACATACATCAAAAATATTTTATATTGTGTACAACACATATATACATCGATTGCGGACAAAAAAGATTAGGATTCAATTTTATATATTATATATTAAATTGTGTTATCATAGTGTTATCATACGAGTGTTTATTAGGTTGACGTATCAAACCATTGTCTCTATTAAAAAAAAAGATTGTTTTGATTATTATATGATGGGTAAGAGAATCTCATAAAAGATTCCCCCCCCCCACTAAATAATTTTGCTGATATATAGATTACTATATAGATATAGAAAAATAGCTACTATATGCTTGTGACTCCTAATAAAAACGCCTGATGATTGCTTGTCAATGAATTTTTGGTCCTTGACAGTGTCCCACAGCTGAGAATGTATTACCCCCCCCCCCCCTCACCACGGACCTGATCCGTGTTAACATGCGAATAAAAGAACACATTGTATCGAGATTTTAAAATTACACCACTCTTTCAACTTATTAATTATATGCATGTCTATATGAGGGTCCTTAATTGATAAAAATAAATAAATACATTTTTTTTTTATTATTAATGAATGTTTTGGTCTCGATCGTTTTGTCGTATACCCCATCACGTGACCGAAAATCCGTGCAGAATTCGCGCCAGTTGAGGATGAGGACCTGGAGAGAGAAAGGTGTAATGGCTACGATCATGTTGTTGGTCTTCATGTTTTTAAGTTTTAGTTTTACTGGAGTTGTTTACGGAGATCAGTGTAAACCTTGTGTTGGATTCTTAGGTGTTTTTAACTGCAAACACGTCTCGTATGAATGTGTGTTCGTCCAAGGAGTAAAAAACGTACGTGAAATCCGGGTTTTTGACTGCAAAACTCGCATTGTTGGACTACCCATCGGGTGGCCCATCCGTCATCCTGTTATACGGGACCGAAACGGCAATGTCTGTGAAGGTGAGTATTATTCATTTGCACACATGAAGAAAAAAAAATAAGCATTATTGTTTTTTTTTTTGGTGCAAGCTTTCAGTTGTGAGTGTTTCTTAACTCTTCTTCAAAAGTTTTGAGGCAATGTAATCAAATAATTATAGGGTCCAGTGTGATTTGATATAACTTTGCTGATATTAATTAGAAAAAAATTAAACCTTGAGATCGGGTTCGAAATACGTGCAGGGAAATTGAATATGAACTTGGAAACATTCCCTTTACCTTACACCCGGAACACCTCGGGCATTTCACATTTTTTCATTATCATTTGACCAAATATTCGAAATCGTCCTACAGACCTGTAAATTACATTAATACCACAAATGGGATATATACTTACGGAATATTTAAACTTATTTAGTCGATTAGTCCCAACCCGTTTTCTTTCTGTTTTAATATTGTTAATGTAGCTAAATAAACTAGAGTATATCTGTGTTTACATAAACCATAGGAATAATACCGTGAGATCCGAATGTCCCAAGGCTTGACATGAATTTTTTTTTCAAAAAAAAAATGGTAGGCCTAATTGTTATAATATTTTAGTTTACCTACTGAATTTACATTTATATTTTTTTATTTTTTTTTTCATTTAAGTAACACTCGTTTTGTTTTCTACAACAGATGCCCAAAGAATTTCCCAGCCTGGTGAAACAGTAACTGTTGCCCCAACCATACAACCCGGTGGAACAATGAAGAGAACACACGCACGTTCAGTGTTTACCCGAGGTAAAAAAAATTAATAAGTTTGTTGTACTTGTATTTTTTTTAATTGTTTTCTTTTAATTAATACAAACATTTTTATATATTTTTTAAAAATTTTTTCTTTTAAGTAACACAAACATTTTTTTTTCTACAACAGACGTCCCCACAAGTTCCCAGCCTGGTGAAACAGTAACTGTTGCCCCAACCATACAACCCGGTGGAACAATGAAGAGGACACACACACGTTCAGTGTTTACCCGAGGTAAAAAAAATTAATAAGTTTGTTGTACTTGTATTTTTTTTAATTGTTTTCTTTTAAGTAAAACAAACATTTTCATATTTTTGTTTTAATTGTTTTCATTTAAGTAACACAAACATTTTTTTTCCTACAACAGACGTACCCACAAGTTCCCAGCCTGGTGAAACAGTAACTGTTGCCCCAACCATTCAACCTGGTGGAACAATGAAGAGAACACACACACGTTCAGTGTTTACCCCAGGTAATAAAAAATTATTAAGTTTGTTGTACTTGTATTTTTTTTAATTGTTTTCTTTTAAGTAAAACAAACATTTTCATATTTTTGTTTAAATTGTTTTCATTTAAGTAACACAAACATTTTTTTTCCTACAACAGACGTACCCACAAGTTCCCAGCCTGGTGAAACAGTAACTGTTGCCCCAACCATACAACCCGGTGGAACAATGAAGAGAACACACACACGTTCAGTGTTTACCCCAGGTAAAAAAAAATTATTAAGTTTGTTGTACTTGTATATTTTTTTTAAAATTGTTTTCTTTTAAGTAACACAAACATTTTCATATTTTTTAAAAAATGTTTTCTTTTAAGTAACACAAACATTTTTTTTCTACAACAGACGTCCCCACAAGTTCCCAGCCTGGTGAAACAGTAACTGTTGCCCCAACCATTCAACCTGGTGGAACAATGAAGAGAACACACACACGTTCAGTGTTTACCCAAGGTAAAAATATTAAGTTTGTTGTACTTGTATATATTAAAAAAAAATTTCATTCTGAAGTAATTTTGAAGTTTAGATGTTATATGTTACCATTTTGCAGAACCATTTGATAGATATGCTAGGTTCTCATATTAGGATGATGGAATTCATTTTTTTTGTACAATTCGAATGGTTTTCATTAATGAGCATTGGTTCACAAATTTCTTGATTTTCTTTACATGATCAAAATAAAAGTTTTTATTGTATTGCAGACATGAATGTGCAGGACAACAACAACCTCTTTGACGAGCCTGGTACTGCAGGTCAGTATTTGACCATCCTTTTGTCAATAAACATGGTAGTTTGTATTTTTATTGTAATAAGTCTGTTTATTTTACGAAGATAATCAGAAAAAAAAATCATTCTATTTAAAAGATTAAGATGTTGTAATCTGCAAAACAACCAGGCAAAGGATCTGAAACATTTCAACAGAATCCATGCTGTATCTTTTTATTAATGCATCAGATAACTATAGTACATGTAGTGGCAAATGGGTGATTTTTTTTTTATTTTCATAGGTTTCTTCAGTTGGGCACTTGCTACCTCCATAGCAATTTTACTTGTGATAATCAAAAGACTGTTGTTTCCCAAGTGGAGATGTCATAGATGTTGCATGAAACCAGCACAACCACAAACAACAGAATCACTACCACTTGGACAAGTCCCTTTAAACCCTGCATACATGCCAGAAGCCATGAACCTCTTGCACACCCCTCCGTCATTAGCGTCAACTCCAAGCACGGTAACTTCAAGTGTTCCTGCACTGTCGCCACAGCATCCCCTGACACTAGCTTCAACCCCAGCCACTGTAACTTCAGCGCCCCGTTTTGTCACCACAGAGAGATAATGATCGAGTGTCAGATAATACTAGATCAAAATCCCTGAAAAAATTAATCTTCTAGAAAGAACAAGTATTTTTGATTTTTTTTTCGCTGTTTTATTTTCATTAGAAAATGTTGTGACAGAAACCTTCATTAAAAATTGCTTTTGAGAAAGATGTACTTCTTTTTGAAATAGTTAATTTTTTTAAAGATATGAAATCTCTTGATGTGTGAAATATGAATATTTTGTTTTAACATAAAGAGAAAATACAAAGTGTACTCATGATAAAAGTTTAGGAGGAGGATGATGTACATTTTTTTTCACTGGATTGCTTTTTTTTAAAATGGAAGGTTTCTTGACCATGTATGGAATTGAGAGAAAAGAAATAAGTTTACACACGTGTTATTTTCTATTATGGTTTGAGGAGTGATGAACATCTTGAATTCATTAAAAAAGAAGTAGGGGATGACTTACTTTTTAAACTTTTTTTGTATTTTAAACTTTGAGATATCCGGGCTATGTGTAAAAGGAATTGAGAGAAAAGAAATAAATGCACACACGTGTGATTTTCTATTATGGTTGCACAGGGATGAACATCTTGAATTAATTTTTAAAAAAGTTAGAATGATGACTTACTTTTTAAAGTCTTTTTTTTGTATTTTAAACTTTGAGATATCCGGGCTATGTGTAAAAGGAATTGAGAGAAAAGAAATAAATGCACACACGTGTGATTTTCTATTAAGGTTCGAAGAGTGATGAACATATTGAATTAAAAAAAAAGAGAAGGATGACCTACTTTTTTAAGATTTTTTTTTATATTTTGAAAGTTTGTGATATCTTGGCTATGTGTAAAATTTGGATACTTTTTTACACAGTTTTTGGCATATAAATTCTCTGTTTTTATGATGGTATTACTTATTTGATGTTCAGGGTATTGCTTATTTTCTTTTATTTAGCATACAGCTAATTTTTTTTAAACATGTATGATTTTTGTTGAGTTTTTATATGCTGTATTGACTATTGGTATAGCAAGTTATATTTTGTTTTGTACA